GAGGGACAGACTGTGGACACATGAGGGACAGACTGTGGACACATGAGGGACAGACTGTGGACACATGTGGGACTTTCACTCGGTCTCCTGACATGTCTTCTTGTCTCCGTTTCCTGGAGGACTAATGTCTTCTGAAGCCGAGCGCAGTTTCTGATGATGAAGAGTTCTGGGTCGACCCGAGCAGTTCTGATCCCCAGCCCGTCCCCCTCCTGGTTCTGGTCTTGACGTAGAGATCAGGTGACTGAAGTTCTTATAAAGAACTTTGACAAGTCCGCTTCACTTTTTTCCTTCTGTTCCCGACCCGTCAGAACCAGCAGTCCCAGTCGGAGGAGGAGACATCCGAACCGGGCCGGATTCTGCCTCTGTGGCTCCAGGTAAATTCTTTAAGAAGTCTGCGGGTCCAACAGAACCGGACCGAAACCTGCTCAGAACCATAAAGTTTGAGAAGCTCAGAAATAGTTTTGATTTGATCGACCCCGAGCCGCTAAAAAAACAAAACAAACAAAAAAAAACCTTTTTAAACATTTTTAATTTTAATTTAAAACTTTCTTCTGTTTTTAGTTGTGATTTGTTTATTTAGTTTGAGTTGAGCAACTTTGCTGTAATGAGAAGGTTCTTGTTCCAGAACCACCAGAACCCACTCAGGGTTAGGAGTCCAGTCCTTCAGGAACCTTCTGGTTCTGGTTCTGGTTCTGGTCCCCTCTAGAACTTCTCTTTAAACCCAGTTGAGAGTGAAGGAACCTGGAGGTTCTGAGTGTCTCAGTGCAGAGCTCCATTGTTCTGTTCAGTCCAATTCTGTCACAGACCCAGTCATGTAGAAAGTGGCGGGCTGGTCCTTGTTCTGGACACTGGTGTTCTGTTTGGATCTGGTTCTGGTCCTGTCTGCAGCTGGACTCTTGGGTTTTCTATAATCTGTTTTCAGTTCATGTGCAGCTTAACGGAGGACAAGTAGAGGCACATGCAGCTCATTGGGCCCATTAGAGTCCAACTGGTCCACAGTCCGGTCCTGTCTCTGTCTCCTGAAGTGTCCCAGTGTGGACCACAGATTATGAGTTGAGGACCTGCAGACTGAAACAACAGGATCACAAAGACTCTTTAACAACTTTAATAATAATTGTTTCATAAAGTGTTTATTTTTAATGGAACAGTAAAAAGTCCAGTTCTGGACGTTGTGTCAAATGTAAACGTTGTAAATTAAAGATGATTCATCTCAGTGGAGTAGTTTACATTTTTGTACTGGGTATACTGGGCTTAGAAACCAAAGTACACTGGTTAGTACAATGTAAATAATAATTTAAGTTGATTTTTAAGCATATCGAAAAGTTCCAAATTTCTCTGATGCTTATATTTGAATAAATGAACAACAAACTTTGTGACAACAGTTGGCTTTTTATTAAAAACACTGTATAGAATTTATAAAACAGTATCAAAGCAAAACATGTTCAAGTATTAAGTAGTAAGTACAGAAGTATTAATTATACAATAATTCTCTGGAATGTACTAAACAAATGCTGCAGACAGACAGATTGTTACAGAAGCTTTTAACTTTTAACATATCAATGACACGTGACGAATGATATGTCATGTATCACTGGACACTTTTAAGTGGGTTTACTCGCGTATCGAGTAGACTACACCACTGATTCATCTCATGAACCTGGTGAACAACTCAAACTCATTTTGAAAGAGGTGCGCTCGTTTTAAATGTGGCGGCAGCAACACATCTCTTCAGAGCTGATCCAGGACCCCCCTCTCTTCAGCTGTCAGGACCTGAACCTCACAGACCTGCTGGAGGTCATGGAGGGAATGTTGTCCCATTCTGGTCTGATGAAGAACTCTAGATGGTCTCTAGTTCTCGGTTTTCTTTGTTAATTTCTTTCTTTTTATAAAGCATCAACAATTTTAACTGTTGGGAGATCTGCACTGCAGGCAGGAAAGTTCAGCAACTGGACTCTTCCAGTACGAAGCCCCGTGGTTTTAGTTTCATGTCTTGCTGATACATGCAAGGCCTTCCCTGAACAAGTCGACTGGACAGGAGCACATGTTCTAAAACCTGCTCATATGTTCCTGCATGGATGGAGCTTTTCCTTACAGTGTAACCTGCCCATGCCCAAGGCACTAATGCACCCATATACCATCAGAGAGGCAGGCTTTTGTACTGTGGGCTGATAACACTCTTGAACGTCCCTCTCCTCTTTAGCACAGAGGACATGGTGTCCATGTGTCCATGGTGTCCAGTTTCAGATTTGAATCATCTGACCTCAGAACAGTTTTCCATTTCCCCTCAGTCCATTTGAAACGAGCTTCAGTCCAACTTCAGTCCAGCTTCAGTCCAGCTTCAGTCCAGCTTCAGTCCAGCTT